CTCCTCCCCCTCCTCCTCCTCCTCCTCCTCTCTCAGGTGCTCTTCTTGCTTCCTCTTCGGATGAATTGCTGTTCTTATTCACTTTTGCCGATGCCTTCCTTGGCAGATGAATCCGAAAAGCGACTGGGATGTGAAGGGTAACTGGGAGCTGTTGCGCGCGGCCTTCATCGAGCTTGGGCTGCCCAAATGGGTGAGCCTGCTTTTTTTTCTTCTGGAATCACACACACACACACACACACACACACACACACACACACACACACACTCACACACACACACACACACACACACACAGAAAAAGGCATCTGCCACAGTTCCGCTTGACCCTTGTTGACTCTAGTTCATCCAATTTCTTTCAAACTCCGGTGGCGGTTAAATTATATTGACTTAAATTGTCATCGCTTTCTTTTTCTCGCTTCTGTTTTTTTTGTTTTTTTTAATCCAAGCAAAACAGTGGTTTGTTATTAGCACAACCGCTTCTGTTTTTCGCCACTTGGTTCTCAAAACGACAGCCTTGCGAGTTGGAGGGGAGGGGAGGGGAGGGGAGGGGAAAGGGGGGGGGAGAGGAGGGGGAAGAAAAAAAAAGAAGAACAAAGCATACTGGAGTCTCCTAGGCTACCAGAGTGGCCCGGGTCCACTTGCCCGCCCGGGCCAAAAAGAAATAAAAAAATAAAAAAATAAAATTTATTTATTTATTTATTTTATTATTTTAAATTTGGTAAAGAATTTCGATGTGCCCCTGAGGCAAAAGTTGTTTATTTTTCTGCATAACATAGTTTTTTTTTTTCGGATTTTTTGGATTTTTTATTTTTTTTATTTTTTTTGGCTGGGACCTTCCCTAGTCCTTGCACGACCGGGCCGCCCGGGAAAATAGGGTGACCCGGGCGGCCCGACTGGTAGCCTAGTGCAGGACCCCTTTTCCAGCAGGTGCAGCTCCCCACCAATAGGAATGGAGCAACCAGAGCACCTACTAGGGGAGGATGCTCATATCCCCCCCCCACCTCTAGTATGGGCCTCTGGTTCTTTTGTCAAAAAAAAATAAAAAATAAAAAGAGAAGATATTTGTCATATAATGAACAGGCAATTAGTAACCACCACCTACAATGATGCTCCATGACAAGCCCTGCGGGCCTGCGTGCAGCCTTTTTTTTTTTTTTAATGCGAAATTAAAAATTTCAGATTGTTAAACCCCAAGGAGTGCAAGGTTTTATTGCGAAATTCAGATTATTATTATTATAATGCAAAATTCAGATTGTTATGAGCAGCACCCTGCTTGGGCCTGCTACCTAGTTCCTGCAAAAAAAACTAAGTTCCTCAGAAGAAAAAAAAAACTTTTTGTTACGACTCATGAGCACCCTGCTACAGTAACTTCCTTCCTGCTAAAACAACTAAAGAAAAGTTCCTCAGAAAACTTAGTATTTTTTTTTGTATTTTACTATTTTCTGTTAACCATGGAGTCATGGACCCCTCCATCCTCCTGTCCTAAGTTGCCAAGCCCACTTAAAAACTTAGCAGCCTTACCATGTCATCCACTACTGTCTTCCGCCGAGACAATGCTCCCTGCAGAAGTTGCAAACCAAAACCCTTTGGTGTTTTCTCTTAATACCCCTCCCTCGTCCTCTCCTCCCTCCCCCCCCTCCCCCCTCTCTAAAAACTCAGCATCACCATGTCATAGACTACTGTCTTCCGCCGAACACAATGCTCCCTGTCAGTGAATGTATACAAGTTATCTTGCCAGTCCAATACATTTTATAATGAGGGTGCGTTGTGCTCGGGGGAAGAATGTAGTCGTAGGTAATCCAGTACGTCCTCTAGGCAGGTGCCCACCAGCCAGCCTATCTGGCCCGTCTCCGAGCGGCCTCGGCTACCGTCTTCACCCCAATAGAACGCCTGGTAATTATCGCCGTTCTGGGCTGAAAGTTGTGCCACATACAGCTATAATGACCGGGCGTTCTATTCCGGCGAAGATGGTAGGCAGGGCCTCGAACTTCACACACAGTAGAGTCTGGTCAGCTATGATTGAGGGAAGTTTAAAGTTAGCATGAACACAGCTATTTTTATGGCCAGGTTCTTGTTAAGCACAGACATGACCGATCGTCAGCAGCAGCCATTCACACACTCTTTGAGTCGGTTTTTTTCCGAGCATTCAGGTCTCCTTGAGTCGTTTCTTTTACGAGCTGGGTGTGATAATCTATGTCCACGTATGTTGAGGGGCATAGAAGGCATCCTGTTGGGAGGAATGTGAGGCTGATGTGTTCGACTACCGTCTTGCCTCCCCTAATGAAACAACACATGGTCATTATACCTGTGTTTGGGACAGCTTCAGTCTACTAGGTACAGGGATAATGGATGTACGCTCTATTTGGGGGAAGGAGGTAGAGTAACTTCCGCCTTGTTGACATAATGCCTGTGGACTACTTTCCCTTTTGGGAAATTGCTTTGCTTGTGCTGGTTCTGCGACGAAACTCTCTTACCTTGTTGAGATAATGCCTGTGGACAACTTTCCCTTTTGGGAAATTGCTTTGCTTGTGATGGTTATGTGGCGAACCGACAGGTGTATGACCCAGCTGGCATTCAAGCTGCGAGGTTCAAGTCCTGCTATTCCATCCTTGTGATGTGCTACTTCCTATACCACCTTCTGGAGGTCAGATATGGGCAACCAAGCTCAAAAAGAACTCATGGAAGTTATTGACAAAAAAAAAAAAAAAACCAGACGGAGTCGTACAAAGTCTGACAGACTCAAACAGAGTCAAACAGACGCAAACAGAATCACTCAGGCAGACGTAAACGGACGTAAACAGACGTAAACAGACTCGCTGAAACAGACTTAACACAGAGTCACAGACCACAGTGAAACAGAGTAAGAAAAACTTTTGGAAAAATAAAGAAAGAAACAAGTGCGGTAGTACCACACTTTCAAACTGTAAAGGCAAAAAAAACACTAATGGGCAACGAAAAAATGGCCGTAGTTCGAAAAGGCAAAGATAACAGTAATGGGCAGTAACCTCACACCCCGATTTCAAAAAGTGCGCTGCGTCACATCCACGGTGGTCCCAGCCCGTGGCCGCGCGGTACCGGGTCCGTGGCGTGCTTGGGGTCAAGGCCATCGCAGGCCGAATTCGAAATTGGGCGCGGTACCGGGTCCGTGGCGTGCTTGGGGT